CACTAAACAACGTGTGTATTAGTTGAGTTTTCATATCATACAATAACATCGAATAATATCATCCTTATTTGTAACTATAGTAATACAAATATTCTACTGAAGTTCATTTATATATTGTTTCTTTGTCTGTGTCTTCTTTGTTTGTATCCGTTTACTGACATAAGAAACTGATTCCATTTGACGTTTTTATCAAACAGAAAAGTTATTCAGTCCAACCTGTTGTTTTTTTTAAAAAAAGACTTTATTTATTCATGATCCTACTGAGGGTTGAATCTCTTCTATTAACAGTATTGAGCAATATTGAAAATTTAGCGCTGAACTGAAGTTAAATCGACCTAACTCAGTATTGATAACATGACAACATATACTGATGGTTAGATATCTTAGGTCTATCGTAATAAGAATGGTATATTGATAACATTTTCATGTATAACAATCAGTGACACAAGTATGTTCAAATTCCATAGGAACTATATATTTATTTTATTTATTTATTTAAACACATAAATATTGGTAAAAAGGAGCACCAGATATATATGCGCCACACAAAACAATGAGAATGGAAGAGAAAAGGGGAATATATATATATATATATATATATATATATATATAAATGAAATAAAAGAGTAATGCTGGGGGAAACTGAAATGTACAACCAGGAAATCTCTTTCAGTTAAGGAAGTTATAACCACTCTTTATGAAGAAAATAAAAGAAAGTTACAGCAGAATCGCCACTGGTTTCTATTCTGAGCCATATCTGATAACGTCTCTAGCCACTGTGTTGCACCACCCTTTGGACCCCAGCCAGGGAGCCATGAAGGACCAACAGAACCAAGCCATTTGCAGCTTTCTTTCATACCATGACATCATATCCTACACTATATGTAGTTTCGTTAGAACCACAGGTACACCTTATTGACAAGATCCAATAATACAAACTTCGTATCTATTGGCTACACAGTCTTAGTGTTAATTTTAATTTTTTTTGACGACTGAGTAAATGCATTCAGTTATGTATAATTTCACTATAAATTACCATTAGTATCATTTTACAAGATCATCTTGAAAAGTATTAAGAATTGAAGAGTTCTTATGTGAGAACATACAAGGCGATATATAAGCTGTTTTGAGGATTACCGTACTATAACAAAACGGTCGTTCAGTACTCCTAAGTTTTCAATGATAGCCTAGATAAGAATAGTTAGTGATTTAAACTGTAAAAAATTCTACAATCTCCACAAATCTCCTATACTAACTAAAACATAAAACATTGAGGAGTTTGAAATCACTTAGTATTACTTGTTTGAATCTTCCAATTGATGTTTAGGACAACGACTGATCAGTCTCTTATTGGTATATATGCATACTGTGCGTATTGCCTCCGTATAGCCTTATTTCATAAGCATTGTAAGTAAAGATGGATAGTGGCTAGCAGTGGAATCCAGGATGCGCGTTTCGTATTATTCGTCCTATCAGGACCCAGTAGCTGAGTGGATAACGTGAAGGCATTTGAAGCCAACGATACTGGGTTCAAGTCCCAGAGTGAACATCAACCATCTGACGGGTCCCAAATAGGATGAAACGCGCGCCCTGAATTCACTGTTAACCACTATCTATCTTTATTTAGGAGTTTGCTTCTAACAGATATAACACATATCTAAATACATTCCAGTATAACAGAAAACCTCTACTTTAACATTTTACAAACATGTAAAAGCCGTCGGTTCGCACATTCTATCTATCAATGATGAATTCTATGTTTTCTTAAATGTTATATTATCATCAAACTATATTACTTATCGAAATATACTTTGACATACGAATTTTTATACTTCAATCAAATAAATGACAACTGGTATCATCATTCTATATTCGATGTAAATTTGTTTCAAAATTTTTTATTAGAATCTTTTACATGTACTGACAAATACCATTTGAAGTTTAGATCTGATAATTATACACATTCACGGGAAAGAATACTAAAGTATTTCCAACAATCTATATACATCTCTTTCCATAACGTTTTACGTTTGATTATCCCAACATAGTTTCTAAATCATGTTTTGACCGAAATCTGTTGATTGTACATATAGTTTAAGATAAACATACACACACACACATATACTTACCATATGGCATTAAACACACTAACCTACATCTTTTTAATTTTTCTATTAACCAAACTGTCAAAACTGTCTCAATAGACATTTTAAAATAGAATAAAGAACATTACAAGTCATAGTAAATAAAATGTGAAACGTGGCGTTTTTTTATTTATTAAGAAATTCATCTCTTAGATCAAAAGAAAAACTGTCAGTCTGTCATAAAATGATATGTGGACTTCAGTTTTTCAATGTTTATACATTACTAACATAACAAAAACAAATAGTACATACCATGCATAGGTATATCATAATCTACAACACAACAACAAACAATGTAACATATTTATCTATATGTTGTTATTTCATGAGTATATGATATGCAGAGCATAGTAATCAACAGAATGAATAAAAAAAATGTATGAGTAGCATAAAACATACTGGAATGAGAGACTAGGAATAAAGTAAGTGAGAAAGAGACAGCGCGCGCGCGAGAGAGAGGAATAGATACAGATAAACTGAAAGAGATAAATTTTTTTCCTTAATCTGATGAAAATTAATACTGAAAAGTTCAATAATGTATGAATCATAAATTTTTATACCTTCAATGATTAAAACAAGAAAAAATAATTTTTTTTCAGCTTGTTTTGTTCATTCCTTTCGCCTGTTACCCCTTGTGGAGGAGCATAGGCCGCCTACCAGTATTCTCTATCCACCTCTGTCCTGGGCAATCCTTTCCGGTTCTTTCCAGTTATTATTCATCCATTTCATATCTGCTTCTATTTCCCAGCGTAATGCTGAATGATAATTGCAATGATGAATTATTAACTTTCAATGTTCGACTAGTTGTAATCAGTTCTCAAATAGATAGCTGATATTTCTAGTTTAGAAGCCGACTGCTAAAGACGGTGCTGTAATTATTGATTTCTTTTCCTTGACTACTATAATATTTTGTATAGACTAAACAGTGTAATTTATGGCTTTGAAATAATGTTTTATATGCAAATAATCGTTGATATTGGTATGCATTCATTATCCTAACTAATTTCTTTTTTCATCTAGGTTTTAGATACGATAAAGCTTGATCCTTTTGATCATATTTCAGTAAGATTTAGGATTATCAACTGAAGGTTTGTTTATTATGAATATAGGTAACATATGAAAGTAAAATTTATTGAGGTATCACTGAAAAGCAAACAACGGTGAATGGTTGTTCTAGATATTATTAAACTTATTACTAGTGTAAAATTCCAAAACGAAATCTTGAGGTCTTACGAAGTGCATGACTAAGTACAGGGCTTAGGTATTAGTCAGCAGTTTATCAGCCTATATTTTCTTCTTAGTAGACACAGTAAATTCTCGTTAGAGAACACCGGATACTGAATAATAGTCACGCTAGGTTTTTAGTCAACCGAAATTGAAAAGTTTATATACGCTGGCTTTCAGCCAAATGTCATCTTAACTTCATTGTCTATATACTTTGCTATTAATTCAGCATGAATTGTTTGTTGAATCAAGTCCTAGATTGAAATCATGCAAATCTCCTGAAATTTATCATTTCTAAAGGTTGATTATTCTTTCTAACGTGCATTTTTTCTATCTACTAATTTTATTTTTCATTCACTCGAAATTCCTTGATTATGCTATTAATTTATTCTGTGGAACTTAATATGATGTTCCGATACCCCTACGAACCGATATAAGTTAGACAACCATTAAAAGTTTGTAAGCACTGGGCATTCTTCTTATTCTAGTATGGGAATTCCCAACAGTAAGCATTCACGAACTTACGTGGGGAATTAAACCCATGACTCTCAGTTTCGCTCGTGACTAATTAACTTCTAAACCACTCAGTCAAGATCTGATGATATACAAGTCCAACTTAAATCAACGCACGCTATTGTAAAACCACCTTCCTATTTCTTCTGTTGGTATCTTCTTAGCAATATAAATAGCATAGTAGAGACAACTTATACCGCATAATTCACCCTAAAGTATTCTCGGATACAACTAATTTATACTAAGTGAAAACACAGAGTTTTCTAGAATTAATAGCCATCATTAAATAAATTAAAATAAAATCAGGTTACCCATTAACTCTACCTTGAAAGATCGTATCAAAATGTGTTCATGAGAAAGAGATTTTTTACTCACTATCTTCTGTTGTCATCATGAGCGTCTCTCCTAGTGGTTTCACAAAACTCTTAGCTTCCATCAAATGTCAAAGCTCTTCTACATAATGACTCTTTAACTCTCAGATTAGAGTTTAACTAGATCTCTATGGTTTATGATTTTATAATAAGATCCTTTTTTCACGAGGTGGGGTTACCGAACCTATATCTGTAATCAGGACAAGCAATTGTTTAAGATGGGTTTTAGAAAAGGTTAAATTGCTCAAATATTATAACATCTGACAACTTATATACTTATTTTCAGTTGTACGATATTTTCGAGAACTCAGTCACTTATCTTTAGTTAACATCTAAATTTCTTATACATACAATATTTGATTACTTAAAGCATTGGGGGTAGAGTTTGAGTGCTTCTGTAAGAAGTATTTCAAACTATTGTGTAATTGACATTTTCATAGTTCTATTTACTTGACAAATTACAACATATTAATTAATTCAATTAGAAAATGGATACCGATTTCTGTACTTTTTATAGAAAGTCAAAAAATAATAATAAAATTTTAAATTTAACCCATTTATCTTAACTCATTGTTTAAATCTTAAATAGAATAATAAGTTCATATGGCTAATAAACTAATACACATCTGATTCATATGATTTTCAAGTACTTCAATTTGATTGGTTCATATTATTATCCAATTAGAATGCAGTAAAATATGATTAATAACATAGTCAACCTGTTATTGGTTAATATTGGCTTATATGTTAAATAATGAATATTTCAGGTACATTGAGAAAAAATTTGAGTCTTTAAAACGACAACTGGCTATATATCACGTTCTTAAAGATAACAATCTATATTTTAATAACAGAGATATTAACTTTATACGGATTATATTATATTTTAAAAAAGGAAACTTTTGATTTAAGTTATGCGAATACGTCATCCAAGACTCGACAGTCCAATTCAATCACCATCAACAACGAATGAAATGAGAAAACATTTACTTAATTCATCACAGGGAACTTCTATCAAAATATCTGATTCACAACAATGTAAATCAAGACAAAGTTCACCTCGTTTATCTTCAACCGATGGTCATGTATCATCTATTTCTGGTATGTCAGAATTATGTGATGATCCAACTAATACATATCTTAATCCGGATTTCAATGATCCACAACTAATGACAAAAGTAAGTTTGATAATTTTTAGTATGTTCAATATATATTTTAGAATTAATCATCATAACACGATTAAGTGAAACTGTTAATTATTATCATACGATATTTGAGAATCAAAATAATCAATTTCTGTTTAACTCATGTAATTTAGTACAGCTGAACACTAAACATATGATATGCTTTTACACCGTGATACTATCCAGGCGTTTAGACGAAGTAAGCGGTTTCTTCAAAGATCTACTGCTAACTCTCTCAACCCAGAGTTCGATTCCTCAACTCAATAGAATAATTTCAAGGGATGCCATTTGTTGGTATCTGATTAACAAATATTGGTACATACACCATTCGTTCTCACAGAGTTTTGAATTTAGCAAATATTATTGGTCTGCAATCACGGTTTGGCAACCACCTTAGGGAATCTCTCACTATGTACTAATCCGGCTTCAGCTCAAGACCTCTGTTTCTCGTCCTCCCTTACAAGAGATGAAACCTTATGGATACAATTTTCATGAATGTTAAAAATAAATCTTACAACGTTCATGCAAATAGTACTTCAGATGAAATTTAAATCCATAATGAAAATCATCTTACCTACTTTACTGCTGATATTGTACGCTAACAACATCGTTAAAGACATATTCTGCAATGAACTACTTTCTATTGATGTTAACAAATAAAGTTATTTGTTATCAACTATTCAGAACATTGTAAAATGGATACATTTACCACTATTTACTGGTTTTATAGTAAAAAGTGACTTTGTTGATAGAATATAGCATTTGTAAAAATCAAATAACGACTTCATTCATTACTAACATTAGTAATCACTGTAAATGTTTATCAACTGATCTGGCATTGAGATTAGTAAATTACTAAGATGATCTTATCATGTGATGAACTTTACAAATGATATTCATTTTTTAAAACAGTAGATTTTTTGAAAGTGTTTAGAATGTTCATTGTCAATCAAAGTTCTTGTTCAGTTTATGAATAACGGTCTAAATAAACAGACTTATCATTATTATCCTGTTTTCTTTGAGTAACCAATAATCTTACTTAACTTGCATAAAACTTGACATTTCTAATGATACCTCAGTCCTACAAAAATAGAGAAAGATTACTTTTACTTTTTAAAGTCAAAGTTTTAAATTTGTTATGCTCAACACATAGTATTCACTCTTATTCAAGACTACGAATTTCAAAATGTTTTACACTGCTGTAATATGTCATATTTCTACTACCAATCATCCTATCTAACAGAATTACTGACCTTAGGCGTTAGTCACTTGTTTGAAAGTATTTAATTGGCACACTCACGGAAGCTATGAGCTAATTTGTATGAAATAATATCGGTGAAAACAGGTATACAGACTTTCTTCCAATACAACACTGTGACACAAATAACTTTATTTATTAGATTCATTATGATATTAAGCAACCTCATTCTTAGATATTCTTTTACAAGGATTTTTACTGTCCATAAATTGATATCATAAAAGTGAAATAATAGTCGTGTCATTTGTACAACAAGAAACATTCGATCAATAAATCTACATTGTGTCAAAAAACAATGGGCCTGGCATCATGAAACAAAACAAAACTAAGAAAACAGAAGAACTCCAGACATATATCTGTTCTATCATCGAATCTGAAAACAGTGGCTTCCATATCACAATATAATAATATTCTATCCCAATCTCATCAATTAGCTATGTTCTAGCACTTCAATTTTTGGTAAAACTTTGAATAATCAGTTTCTAAACATGTCACTAGTCTTTATGTCATTATTATTGTATATGTACTAGTTGTTAGTTTATTGGTCTAGCGCTTAAGCATTCAGGTACGAGACTGAATGTATCGGGTTCGGTCGTCGTGTGAGGGTTATGGATATGTACTTCTGAAGAGTCCCATACTAGAGCAAAACGGACGTTTAGTGCTTTCAGATTTTAAATCGTTTTCAACTTTGATTCATGATCTCAATAAAATTCAACAACCCTACACCGACATATATTTAAATGATTTAGCATAGGATTTGAAGGTTATTTTTTACCACCATCTAATATCCATTGATCACAGATCCCAAGCTAATAAGTTTTACATAATTTGTCTATTTTATGAATGATATGAACAAAACTGGTTTAAATAAATAATATATTTGTAATATCCCAATGAGTAGAAAAATTAGATTTTCTAGCGTTTCGTAACTTAGTGCAAGCCACTTCTTCAGAGAATTTAATTGAAATTATCACATCAAACCTTGGTAATGATACCTACGAAAGTAGTATAGTTATTAATGTTATAAATGAACTATACCATTCTTCATAAGATATTTCTAGGTAGTAGATTAGACATATTTTCATTCTAACTATTCTATTATCAGTAATAAATTAGACATTACTTGAGATAGATGAGAAAATCTATATTATAGGGAAATGTTATAAAAAAGAAAAAAGAACCGAATGTGAGTGTTATGTAATGATTCTGCGTAAGCAGTACGAAAACAGCTATCCGGTAGTTGTACCGTGCTTCGATTTAGCACTCTTCTCCAGAAGGGCCTACTAGGCATCACCATGTTTCTATGGCTGGAAGAAAGATAAAAAAATAGTAAGATCTTTGTGTTGAATAGAAAAATGAAAGTTGTATTCTAGAACAAAATCTTAATTATAACAGTAAACTAATCAAATAAATGAAATATGTAATTCCTATACACCTTACATTTAAGGTAAAAAATATGCTGTGATGTAATTGTATACAAGATTGTGTAACAAAATTTTCCAGCTGTATTCTTCACTATTACCTAGTGATATTCAATAAAATCTCAACTTTATATATGTTACATTTAATGATAGGAGTATATCTATTATTTTCGCGGTTAAATTCATGAGTTGATCTAAGCTAGACCACAACTGAAAACCTAGAAACATTATGCTGCCGTTTCGATATAGTATGGGACTCAGTGAAGCGCAACCACGACCTCGTACGTGAGACTTGAAAGGTAAACGTTCATGCCTGAAACCAAAGGCCCTGGATTCGAGTCCCACGTGCGAAACCGTGATTGCGCTCCTCTGAGCCCCAAATTAGGACGAAACGGCCATCCAGTGCTTTCAATGGTGATCCAGCTTAGAATGACTCGGAAACTCAGCTGTGAAAAAACCACAACCTCCACAAATCTCCATACTGGTATACATATATAATAGTCAGTTTTATTATTTCACGTGCTTTGTTTTGGGTAACCGAATAGTATCGCTAACCTCACACCCAAGTACCTAATGAATCAAAGCTTAATCAAAGCTTAAAACTTTTATAATTCCTTGTAATGATTAGTAATCAGTGAACTTTTTTAAACAAAAAATCAAGGAGAATGATTGAGGAAAGCTTGTCTGATTTATTATAGTTGAATTCATGAGTCAATTAAAGATAGGCCACCATTAAAAACCTGGAAGCATTGCACGGCCATCTCTCCCAAGCATGGGACTCCTCAATTATATTCATCTACGATCCTGCTTAGAGAACTCGAAATCAGGACCTTCGGTCTCGCTCATGAACGCTTAACCTCTATACCACTGAACCAGCACCCAATGGTGTTATTATCTAACTTTAATCAATCTATGATTTTGCGGGATCGATTCATGAATTCAACTATTAAAATCATTACAATCTCCATAAACCCCATATTGATCCTATATGGTTTTTATTCATACATGCATCTTCCGTATTGTAATCATGAACCATGTAAAGACAGATGTCATATAAAATGTGGTTAAATCTAGTGTACACACTTATTTATAACTGATTACAATCTGTTCGAATGAATTGTATGTATTTTCTATTAAACTATTGTCGAATATATAAATTTTTAATGATATTCTCATCATTGATGACTAAAAATAGTAGTTTATGTAACAAACAAAATGATTGAGCAACCATTCACCAATGTCTCCCAACTGACCTGGTTGAACTCCACTGGTTGCAGCTTCTCACTAAAACTCCAGGAAATACCTTAAGAAGCCAGTCACTGATCAGCATATGATCATTATCAGAAAGGGGGTTTGTGGAGATTTCAGTAATTTTATAATTGAAATCATGAATCAATTGAAACGGGATCGTGGATGCACACTGCTGAGGAGTCCCACAATAGAACGAAACGGCCTTCCAGTACTTCCAGGTTTTCCATGGTGGTCTAGCTTCAATCGACTCATGATCTCAACTACATAAAATTACTAAAATCTCCACAAAACCCCCTCCTAAAAACAAAAATGATTGTTTTTTTGCATGTGTGTGTGTGTGTTCACTAACACAATGCATTATTGATAATCATTGTAAACATTGATATTACCACAGTCTATTACGGACCGAAAAATAAAAAAACCCATATTGTTTACTTATTAATAGATTAGTTTACAAATAAATACATTAACTATTCATTAATTTATGGAAAGTAATTGATTTAATAATAAATAAGTAGTTTATGAGTTTAGTAAATGTCAATCATGTATACACTGATTTCCATCTAATTTTCATAACAATCAAGGAACATCATCATCATCATCTTTGATATCGTTTTCAATATTCATGGTTTGTTGTTTATTCTTTCTTCTTCTTCTTCTTCATGTTTACCTTACGTTTTTTGTTGTCGTTGGTGTTGGAGGAACTAAGATTTTTGAGAGATTGTTTTTATTCTGAGACAAATATATGCTTAATTTGTTAATCAAATATTTTATGCTTAAGTAATACAATTTTTTGATGGATATATTACTGATTTTAATGTACTCATATAAAATATTAGTTTGTGTTTCTATAGTAACGATCGGTTGATTAATACTGGAACACTTATTAACATTGATGGGTTAGTATCTGACAAAGTCATGGAATGGATTCAGAAGGGTCGGTTTGTGTTTGACAACTTGAGTCAGCTATGTCTTAAGTGTGATAAATATTTGACAAATGGAGAATGAGTTCACTTTTCAGCGGTTCACCTTATTTTAATTTATATAACGTAGCTTTGTAAATA